TAATAAAAAATTATTAAAATAACATAATTTTAAAATAATTTTTCCTTAATTTTTTTAAAATAAAACAAATAAATCCTATTACTTTTAAATTAATAAATACAAAATTAATATTTTTATTAACACATTTTCTCGAAAATACTCTGTATTTTCTCACAAAAAGAAATACTGTCAGTATTTGGTCCTCAACTTGTCTTCAAAGTGCAATGTGATACTAAAACTTTAGAATACCGTAATCAAATCGGAAACGCATAATCACATTTGAAGGTCTGATTCTCTGTATCTGTTTGTAGAGTGCTTGATTCAAATTTCAAAATAGTGTGAGGATGAGGTGGAAATCCCTTGGAGTGGCGGATCTAGCAAGGCCCATGGTTGGGCACAGGCCCTACTGTGGGCCTTGAAAAGAAAAGTAGAAAGATAGGCCTAGTGAAAAAGGCCCAACTATGGTATACATCTCCTCACATCACCCAATTCATTTTTCTCACCTCTTGCCTCTCTGCCCCCCTTCACTCCATTTCCATCTCTTGTTCTTCTGCACTTTTTTTTTCTCAGCAAACAAGCAGTAGGTTAGTTTTAGCTAAGTCTCTGTTTTATTAATTAATTGTTCTTTTGTTTGTGGTGTATTTTCTAGGCTCTTCTTAGCACCCAAACAATATATTTTATTGAATTTATTCATTGTTTAATTTAGTTTAAACAATATGATCAAACATCCTAGATTTTCCTTAGGAGCCTTGTTAGATGGGATTGAGCTGAGTGAAAGGGAGGGAGGTAGGTTGTAAAGGAGGTTCACTGCAAACATAGTGAAGGAAAAAAATAATTTAAGAATTTTTTTAATGAATTTTAATTGTTTTATTGAAATTTTCTTTTTTTTTTTATTTATTAAGTGTTACCTATATATGAAAAATTGAAAAGGGTACAATTTAGTGAGTAAATTTTTTGTGCATGGATACATATAAATATTAAGGGTAAAACCAAAGAAACACACATTTGATATAAGCTTGACCTACTCATAGAACCTGAGTCTGCCACTAATCCCAAGCTTTAATTATTTGACTATTATTGACCATTGATACTAGTTAATGATTTTTTTAGCATGTGCCTTTAATGTGTATTTATTAAAATTTCGTTTGTCAATTAATAATGTATTTATTGTACTTTTATATTAATTAATATAAAAAATAAAATTTTTTATTAATTCTAATAACAATCTAATTAAATTCATATAAGTGACAACTGTAATTAAATTAATTATTTTTTAGTTTTTTTTTTTTAACACAATATAATCTACTGAGTTTTAAATGATTGTGCACATTTCACCATAGGGCATTTAAGATAGCCTATCACTCGAAATCATATTGGATGTTAAACATAGGGACACTTATACATACAACTTATTTTGTTACATATTGATAGTCTACGTTACTTAATTTGTTATACACTAACAATTCACCAAAAAAGAGTTACTATTATGGGTACAAAATCAAAATCTACAAAACTCTAAATGAAAAATTGACCATTTAGAAGATAGGTCAATGTCTCTTGCACACCGAGACAAAATTTTAACTCAATCCAGTGGTAAACTTTTGTAGATCGGATACAATGACAAAGCTATGTATAGTATCAAAATTGTAGAAAAATAGATCACCAAAAATGAGTGACTGTTCTGGATACAAAATTAGAACCTATAGAGCTTCAAATAAAAATTGACTATTAAGAATATAGATCAATGTCTCTTGAACAGTTAGACAAAATTTCAGCTCAATCTAGTGGTGAATTTTTACAAATTAGACAAAATTAGAACCTACAGAGCTTCAAATAAAAACTGACTATTAAGAATATAGATCAATGTCTCTTGAACAGTTAGAAAAAATTTCAGCTCAATCTAGTGGTGAATTTTTACAAATTAGACAAAATGGTAAAGCTGTATACAATACCAAAACTACAGAAAAATAGATCATAAAAATCGAGTTATTGTTTTGGACATAAAATTAGAATATACAAAACTCTAAACAAAAATTAACCATTCAGAATGTAGATCAATATCTCTTGAACAATCAGACAAAATTTCAGCTCAATCCAATGGTAAACTTTTGTGGATTGAATAAAATGGCAAAACTATGTGTAATACCAAAATTGCAGAAATTTCCCTTGTTTTCTTTTCTTTTCCCTTTTTTGCCAATTGGCTCCACTCACATGCACTCCACTTTTTGCTATATCATCCCAAAATAGACTTGTTTAATGTGTCTAAGGCCGGAACAACGGGAGGGAGAAAGGAAAGGAGAGAGAGAGAGAAAGAAAGGGCTGGGTGCATTTAGGGAGTTGCGAAGGAAGTGTGTAATGGATAGTAATAGAGATAGTCAATATGTAACTTTACATGATATATGTATCATTTTCCTATACGGAGCTATTAAAAATGGACACCTATATGAGCGTAGTAAGCTACCAAGTTTCGCATTTGTATGTCCAGTCTTAGCTTAAGAGGCAAGGAGATCAAACAAAGTCTCAGCCCCTAATTGTGTCGTTAATAGCTGAAGTATATATCATAATTGAATCAAGTCTATCCAAGCTTGATTTCACACTGTCTTCCTTCTCTACCATAAGCACCAAAACTTAATGAAATATATTGAGAAAATTTAAGTAAAAACTCTCAAAAAAGAAAAAAAAAAAAAGACAAATTATTCTTGAAAGAGAACACCGCCCTCAAAAAGGAGACAACCCATGTTTATGTTCATCTTAATTGTTGAGGGGGAGAGAAACAAAAAAAAAAAAAGAAAGAAAGAAGAAAAAATAAAAAGGTAACAATTTAATTATGGCAGACACAATAATTTGTTTGTAAGAAGCCGACGAGGCATTGTTCCAATTGTCAAAGACATTGTTGAAACCTGTGACGCCTCGAGCTCCTCGTTGTTAATGCAATAATCAAGCCATATTTTATGGATTAGATAAATATGAGGGAAGTAGAGGCAGTGGCAGCCGGTTTCTCCTCAAATTAAAGCTTCATAATCGTCTTCATTGTACGTATATGTATACATAATGGATGAGGAGGAAACCCAGCAGGCTCAGTTAATTTTCATAAGATAAGAGGATCATAAAATCCTCAGGCCGCGGTATCTACCCCTCAAATTTATATTTCAACATTAATCTTTCTTTGAGATTATTAAGGACACACCAAATATTTACTAGCTATATAGTATATATTTTAGGTAGATCATCAATTACATAATATTACATAATAAGAAAATTGATACACGATTTATAATTAACATTGATGCAGCTATAAACACGGCAAAATGAACAGAGCATGTTCACATTAATTATGTAGCCTAATTAATAATAAACTTTGTAGAGAAAATTCAACTATATATATATGGATCTTATTCATATATTGGTATACATATAATTAAGATAATTTATGATCGGGCATTACAATTTTAGTCTTCACTACTGATTATAAGCCTTTGCGTCCATTACCTTGACCTTTCTTTCTTGCTGAGGGAGGATCATGCCCTTTGTTGGCCGACGCTTCTCCATAGTCATCAAGCCTCACCGACATCAGAGACCTTCCTTTCACACTCCACACCGCCTCCTCTCCTGTAGTAATTAATTTATTTAGCTAAGTTTAAAAAGGAAATCATATTTCACAATATATTTATTAAAAAAATATTAATTTTAAATTTAAATTCAAGGTAAATAAAATTTTAACTATAGTATTAGTTAAATTTATTAATGTTGATAAATATATTAAATCAAAGAATATATTAACTATCTTGCTTTAAAAAAAAAGAAGAAGAAGAAGGTTGTCTCGAAGACACAATTGCAGCTTAAACAATAATATAACCACGTGATCGGTGAATCTTCATATATGTATATATACTTAAGCGTCTGCAAAATTAAACAATCTTGTCTCTTTTTCGGACAAATCAAAGTGGTAATAATTATATTTAACTTAATTGACACACAAAACCCTGTTTAATTAAGGAATCCAACTGGCTTGCAATTTTTGTCTTATAGTATGGATTGTCGAAGGTGACAGCCTCACCGGTTTGACCAGTGACAGTGTCTTCTTTAATTTCTTTTCTCTATTCCTTGTATTGTAAATCTAATGCGATTCTTACCCTATCATACCGCCCTCTTTTTTCATCTAATTATGCAGAAAATGCAGGCCTACCACGGATACCAGAGCCTAATTAATACCGAACGGTAACTTGAGTTCTTTTTTTTTTGAACTGAAGTTAAATTAAATAGTAATTTGAGTTCTGATATCATGTTTGAATATCAAATTTAATTAAAACTTTATATGAACTCATGAAACCCCTTAAGGTGATGTAAAAAGAAAAAAAAATTAACAATGAAAAATGGGAAGAAAACGGTGGAGTTTATATATAAAATGGAAAGTATATGTTGAGAGAAGAGAAAATACATTGCATACCTGAGACTGCCGGGGTTGAAATGGAGAGACGAGCTGAGGAGACTAAAGCAAAGGTGAAAAGGAGACAGAAGAACATCTTAAGCCTGGACCCCATCCCCATCCCCTTCTTCAGTCTTCTTCCTCTAATCTGGCTGAAACAGAGAGAGGACACACCAGGGGGATGCCTTCTTATAGAGACGTTGATTTGTTTTTGTTGAGGAACACGTGGGAGATTCTGAATGGGGGATATGGAGAGTTGACGTTTTGAGATCGTGGCTGCCACCATCTGATGAGCGGATCTCAGCCATTGGTCTCTTTGTCAACGGGGTTGTTGTGGCTTCCTTTAACCAGAAAATATTGGAAAAGGAAGGGTGTGCTTTGTCCGCTTTTCAATCTAATCGATGGTTTTATACACACTCCTCTTCGTGGGATTCAACCTGGAAAAATCTCATAATCAGTTAAAGAGAAATTTGTTTTTGGACATAATTATGTTGTAATTAAAGATAAATTATTTCAAAAATATTATAGTTATGACTGACTACGTGATATTTTAAATTTATAAGATGTGTTATTATATAATTAATTTAAATATTTACTTGTAATATTATATATATTTATTTATTTACTATCATATCATATTTTATTTAATATCATGTGAAATTAAAATTTAAAATTTTATATGGCATTATAATTATAGTATTACCATAATTATATTATTTATTATCAATTGATTTTAAATTAAATGTTTTTACAGCATTAGAGTTTAAATGCTTTTAGTTAATCTTTGTGCAAAGAATCTTTCTAACAGACTCGTCTATTCACCTGCAAGTAAGGGTGCATGTTAAGTTAAAAATCAATCTCAAATTGATTCGTTTAAGCGGAACTTGTAAAATCAATTTTAGAATTTTTTTTTTTTGGTAATACAGGACTCTTATTTTAAACTAATTTTAAGTTAATTTCTTTCCTACTTCTAAAAGCATTAAGAATTAAGGGATGCATCAATACATCTTAATTAGCGATGTCATATGATGCTTGCTAAACACTAAACACAGTGTTTAATTATGAAAGTGGTTACTCTATTCCAGCCTGGCAATCCAATTGTTTATCATTTTGGTTGCATATTTGTGTTTGACTTATTTGGGCAAATCATCTTTTTATGGTCGTTTCTATTTGGGGCAATAAATTCATGGGGAAAGCCAAAGACTAGGATCACGTCTCGATTCTTCATAACTAAGGGAGATGGCATGCCCCGGCCAAGTTGCCATTTGGTCAACGTAGTGAAAGTGTTAACATAGCATAAATGCGAGCAATTAGGGGCATTATCTTTATGTAGATAGTGACAACTGAAACGATTCTTGAGTAGATCTTAAAATTGGCCCGTCTTTAAGGAGAACATTACATAAATTCTCAATGTTAGGGGTGTTTGATTTCTTTGTACATGTATTTCCAGTTCCACACATTCCCATGTATATTTCCATTTGTTCAAAAAAAAAAAGAAAAAAGAAAAAAGAAAAAAAGGCGAACCAGCTTCGAGTCTTCTGCCCATCCCCCACTTTTCTAATATGCCAAAGTGGATCAAAAGGCAGCTCATTTCTCTCAATTTGTTGGTCAAAGACGCACATAGGAATCGCATATTACACACTTCCCATCACATTTCTCACAGAACCGTCCAATAGCAATGCCTGGCCGCTTCCTGCACATAATCAAATCAGGATGATGCTTGGCCATGGTTTCACCAACAACTCCTCAGTGTGCAAACGAGGTCAGCTGAGAGTTTGAGACAGATTCCATCATTCCCAAAAATCACGTAGTTAGATTTCCCGAGAGCATAATAATCTAGCAAGTTCAATCAGTCAAACATGAGCTTGGTTGAACTAACAATATAACATTGTGTCTTTAGATGAAGAAGTGATGAAGCAAAACAAAATACCACTGGGAGCTTTTATACCCATTCTGTTCAGCTACATGTGGAATTTGAATGCGGCATTGTCACATAAATGAACCCCCTCACAAAATATCTAAGAATTTGTTTTCATCATCTCCTCCCTGATGAGTCAAACATGAGCCAGGCGAGACACGTACTAAAACATCACCAAACACAACTTCAACCATTTGTTCTTCAGTTAGTAAGGAATCGAATGAAACAAATTCTAAACTAAACAAAAAGAAAAGAAA